GCAGCCAGGGCCCCCACCAGGGGCACCAGGGTCAGGTTCACGGGGTAGTTCCAGGGGGCGATGATGAGCACCAGGCCGAAGGGCTCCTTGCGGATGAAGGTGGAGCTGGCCTTCGTTATCTGAGAGGCAGCGAGGGCCTGAGGGCGCTGCCAAAGGCCCAGAGCCCACCCCTCAGCCCCCTCTGCTCACCAGGTTGTTGGCCACCGGCTCGTCCTTCATCCAGTTGTGCAGGTTCCTGAGGGCGAGCGTGATCTCGTTCTGGCACAACAGGATCTCAGAAAAGTCCGAGTCGAAAGCTGACTGAGATGGGGTGGGGCGGCGTCAGCTTGGAGGGGCATGGGGCGCGGGGGCCCCAGGGTGCCGGCGGGCATGTGCGGAGTCTGCAGGAGCGGCCAGCTGGGCCTGGAAACTACTCACTGAGCTGAGGACCAGTCAAGGCCTGGCCACCTGCGCTCCTGCCCTGGTCCTCAGCAGGGAGCTTGACCCAGGGCCCTCAGTTTCCCCAGCGGCAACAGGTGACCACAGCCCATGGTGCCTGCCCGGAGCTTTATGGCGCATCCCTGTTGTTGTGGGACCGTTGCACCCCACTTGCCAGGGAAGAGGCTCTTCAGTAAACAGGGAGTGGTTGGGGTTCAGATGCTGCCCACCCAGTGTGAGTCCCACAGGAGCCTCGCTCACCTCAGGCAGGTCCCGCGGGAGCCCCGCCCACCTCCTGCAGGTCCGCGGGAGCCCCGCCCACCTTGCACAGGTCCGCGGGAGCCCCGCCCACCCCTTACAGGTCCCAAGGGAGCCCCGCCCACCTCCTGCAGGTCCTACAGGTCCCGCGGGAGCCCCGCCCACCTCCTACAGGTCCCTGGGAGCCCGCCCACCTTGCGCAGGTGCACAGGAGCCCGCCCACCTCCTGCAGGTCCCGCGGGAGCCCTGCCCACCTTGCACAAGTCCGCAGGAGCCCGCCCACCTCCTGCAGGTCCCGCGGGAGCCCCGCCCACCCCTTACAGGTCCCAAGGGAGCCCCGCCCACCTCCTGCAGGTCCTACAGG